TCCATCCTCCTCTGCCTTCCCATCTGACCTGTCAATGCCTCCTTCCTCCTCTGGCTTCCCATCTGACCTGTCAATACTTCCTTCCTCCTCTGGCTTCCCATCTGACCTGTCAATGCCTGCATCCTCCCCTGGCTTCCCCATCCAGTAACTTGTGCATATTGGGTAATTAACAATTCAAATTTGACTCAAAAAAGAAAATACTAAGCTTAATCTCTTCTCCCTCGTGTTATTTTAATTGTGTATATTTTGTTTCTAAGCATGGTTCTTTGGGAAAAACAGAATATGTTTACTACATAAAAACACATATCCTTTTAGCTTTGTAAATTTGGAAGCAAAAGTTTGTCTCCATGGTAAGAAGATGGGGAAGGAGTAGTATTAATAGACCTTAGCACAGTGGTGATTTGAGTCTTAAAGAATAAAGGAAGGCCTCCTTAGCCTCCCCTCCTAAAACAGTACCATGAGCTCTAAGTTGTGTTAAACTGGTGAAAGAGAAAGTCAGCAGCTTTATTCTGACAGCTCAGAGTGAGGCAGTGGCCAGCTCCCCAGAAGCATGGGAAGCAGCACCTCTTGCCCCACAGCACAGGGAAGCTTCATTGATCCTCCATCGTTTGGGAGAAAAGCTTTGAAAATACTTCTGATTGCTTAGTAGCAGAATCATAGACATATAGTCATGCTCTAATCCTTGGAGCCTAAAATTGCAAAGTGGTAGAACATCAGTGCGCATAAGAACCCACAAGGTAAGGAGAAGCCAGTCTTTTTGTTTCTTCTCCAGGCTAATTTTGGGCCCCAAGTAATCACTTCCTCTCTCTCGGCTTTTTCTCTAGCCCTTCATGCCGTGTCTGATGGAGCTCCTCTCCCTATATTATTTTCCACTCTGTATTCTGGCAGGATCTATTTATTCCTTCCTATTTCTCTGTGTGATTGAATGTCTACAAAGTTATTTGGGGGTAATATAATGCATTCCTTTTTAGCTGTTATAATCTAAATTTCTTGAGATATCTTTTGCGCTGTCCTCTGTTGCCCTGTCTGTATTTTCTTATTTCCATTCACTTGCATGATTGTATTCTAAAATAGAGATTTTTAATATACCTATTAATTTGACAAGATATTGACATAATAAATTTTAAGAACATACATATGTGTATATATATATATACATATTTATGGTATATATACATGTTCATATGAGTATGTGCATGTATGGACATGCACATATGGAGGCCAAGGTTGATGATGAGTGTTTTCCTCAATTACTCTCCACCTAATTTTTGAGACATGGTTTTTCATTGGAACTGGACCTCATCAATTCAGGTAGGCAGACTGGCCACTGAGATCCCGTAATCTACTGTTCCTCCTTCCCTCCCCACCCTGCTTCCCCCCTTTTCTGGGGTTATAAATACACTGCATCTGCACTTGGCCTTTGATGTTACGGAGGATCTGAACCCAGGTCCTCATGTTTCTGTTTCAAGCACTTCACAGACAGATTCCTCTCCCCAGCCCCCTAAACATATTAATTTTATGGATATCGCCCATTTGAAAACTGTTGGAATAATACTTATGTAGGCTTTGGAATTAATTTCAGAACCATTTCTTAAGAAAATCACACCACTGCCACCATGCAGCAAGAGCTTCCTGTTTCAGCCAGACTGGCATTACTAACCTAACTGGTTTGGTGAGACCTGATACCAAATAACTTCGACAGCTTTCATAGCTCGTGGTGGTTCTACAGGATGAAAATACTGGCTAGTAAAGATTTTTAGAAGAACGTGGGATATATCTTAAAAGCCATTCTGAAGGAGAGTTATAATATTCTGCTTAAATAATAGCAGAAAAATTGATGTAAGGACTAATTCTTAAGGACTTTATAATGGTAACTTCATGTTTTAGTTAGATCTCAATATTTCTGTTAATGAATTGAACTTAGTTTAATTAAACTCGAACATAATAAGGGCCATAGTTTTTATGACATTTATTTTACATATGTGTGTGGGCATGTTCATCCCATGGAGTAGAGTTCAGAGGGCTCCTTGAGGTAATCCGTTCTTCCCTTATACCATGTGCATCCTAAGGATTGAACTCAGGTCATCAAGTTTGGTAGCTAGTGCTTACGATACCCATCTGGAGTCATCTCCAGTCCTTAAGGTATATATATATATATATATATATATATATATATATATATCCGCAGGATACATGTAGAGAATATGCTTTCAATAACAGCAATAGCAATATGTCTGTCTTGTTGTCTCTAGGTCTATATTTAATAAGAAGGAGCTGCTTGAGTTTGCTCAACTTGGCTGCTACTTGGAATATGATCTCTTTGGTACGGAGCTCCTTAATTACCAGCTCAGCCCAGCTATCGATATGCCTGATGATAACAAAAGAATTAGAAGGTAAATATGCTGGAGGCTCTCATCACATTCTCTTCTGCCAGCCCTTTTGGCTTGTCATATCTGGGTGAGTATTAGCAAAGATTTGGAAAATAGTAAGCAGGCTGAAGCAGCATTGGCAGAGAAAAATATATCTGAGCTGTTCCAGGGAGAAAATCTCTATATATTATTTCAAGAAGAAAAATGAGTCATAGGAAGTAGGCTAAAGCTATCAGAGCCTTAGAAGTTCAGTGCAGATGGACAGCTGACAAGAAACAGGTAATAACCTACCTCTGCCATAACAAGGAGAGAATGAAAGCCATCTCCCCCTTTTACCCTTAGTGGAATCAGTTCTTCCTTCTTCCTCAGGTTGATCTCACTAAAGCCAAGATTTTCTGCAACTATCATTTAAAATGTTTTATTAGATGTATCATTAAGGTGGTGGTTACAACTTAAATGATAAAGTGCCACATGTAAACACCATACATCACAACTTCCCAACACTGCCTACTGTGTGTTGAAGCAAATCATGGCAGCATTCATTCCTTGATGGAGTCGAAGAGGGCAATGTTGTTGGGTGTGGGTCACAGGGTGACATGAAGATTGAAGATTAAATGAACTAAGACAGGGAATTGGAGAGGAGAAATACATCTGAGATTGTACATCTGATTGACAAAGAAGACTTTAGTTTAGGAGTATCTAAGTATTGTTATCCCTAAAACAATAACTAACATCGGAGTGTGAAGCGCATGCAGAGCGGGGATCTGGACTGAGACAGACAAGTAGACATAATTAGTTAATGAGATTGCTCAAATCTTTGGAATACATAAGATCATGGAGAGAAGAAAGAGGACAGAGACCTGGGGACACAGATATTGAATAAATGGAGTCAGTAACAGCATCTTAGGGACAGGTAAGTAGAGATGTCTGCAAGCTGATACCATCAGGGGTAAGGTAATGGATTTCAGTGAGAAGGCATGCTTTAAGCCAAAGACTTGAACACGTACACTATGTAGTAGATATCAAGAAGGATCAAGGCTGAAGGATAGCAACTGGATTGCAAATTAGGAGACTCTGGTAGTCAGGAAGTATGGTCTCAGTAGAGGGCTTGAGAAGTGAGTGGGAGCTAAGCAAGGGGGTGGAGAATGTGAAGGTTACTCTTGGCAAAACTGTAGTAGTAGAGAGGAAGAGGGAGGTGGGCTGATGCTAGAAGACAACAGGTGACCCAGGGGAATGTTTTTCAAAGTTAAACAGTTTATCAAGATAAGATCAGAAATTGGGGGGTACAGAGACAAGGAGAATGGGTCCAAGAAAGAAAGGTAATCCTAAGAGATTAATACACAATTTATATAAAATATAGTATGCAGAGTTTTTGTATGAACATCTGGTACCGCATATGGAAATATTCAATGAATGTTCACACAAAATATCTGAAAAGGTAAGAAGTATAGATCTGGCTGCCAAAGGAGACAAATGGGTGGAATCTGGGGAGTGAGTAGAACACTATTTGAGAGAGCATTTCTCCTTGGCATTGGGAAAGCAGGAGGCAAACTACAATGTTCATGCAGATAAATGTCTTAGCAAGAAGATCCAGAACTGAGGCCAAAGCCCTTTGTGTTCTCCAGTCTTCCTGTGAGGCAGCCATGATTGTCTCCTGAGAAAGCAGGGGCAGATTAAAGGCAAGGTCTTGTGTAGAACAAGGAAGAATAGGAGTGAATGGCTGCTGGGTTGAAAACATGATTCTGAGACCCACTCAAGGCTGGAAATCATGGCTGCAGGACTCTGTGTTGGCACTGGTACACAGAGTTTACTGATTGTTTTCCCAAAGGATGTTGTAATATTGATAATAGTGTTAGTGAAGCATTGTGGGTAGAAGCACTAAGTGTGCACACATAAAAAAATTTTGTTTAAAATCCCATAGGATTGGGATTTTTATCGGAAAGATGCAGTTGATAGCCAGGGGAACAGAGGAAGGGTTGAAATGAGGGGTGGGGAGTAAAAGCTGGAGGTAAGTACATGAAGAAATGTGTACAGATTTAGAAATAACATAACAGGACATTGAATCTAGAGACTTTAAAGAAGTGGGTGAGTATATACAGTAACTGAGCAGGGTGAGTGGAAACAGTCCAAAGACGATGAATAACCAGCATGGGAAACTGAAGATTAAGATTTCAGAGAGAGAGGTCCTATGGTAACAAGGACCAAAGTATAGGTTTTCAGTAGAAAACTGTTGAAATAGGAGTGTGCAAACAATAACTGAGGAAATAATGTCCAAAAGTGAGACAGGTATCAATAGTTGACCATGCATACAGTAGGACTATCCCAAGCTCATGTTCAACAAACTGGTTGCTCCCTCAGGAAGGTGACCTTTCTATCTCTGTGCTTTCCTAAGCTAAATGTACTGCATTTGTCTACAGTGACCCAGTAACCGTGAAGTATGCTTCCATTCCGGTGCCATTAGGTAGAGAGAGCTAGCTGGTACCTTTTACGTTAGTTGTGTGAAATGAAGACTGTTCCACACGAGTAAAGTACTTCCTCCTCCCTGACCAATGAAGCCGTCTTTTTGTTTTTGATCCTTGAACTAGTTCTTTGGCACACAAATTCATTGCCTCATTGTGTTCCTTTTGTGTATGCCTGTGTAGTATGCATGCGTCTTTGAGGCAAAGGGTGCACATGAAAGAGTATGTGAAGGTCAGAGGTTAATGATGAGTGCCTTCCTCATAGCTCTCCACCGTATGTACTGAAACAGGTCTCTTGCTGATCCCAAAGTTTGCTGAGTCAGCTTATCTACCTAGACAGTGTGCTCCATGGATCCCATGACTCCACCTTCCAAGTCTGGCATTACAACTGGGCCATCATATCTGCCCACCTTTTTTTATGTGGGTGCTGAAGACCTGAATTCTGATCTTCACTCTGATAGCAAGTGCTTAACCTGCTGAGACATCTCTCCAGACTCTATTGGTTCTTATCATTTATTTTGTTTGGTGATTTTAATTTTTCTGGTCAGGAACACCATTAGTATGGACAATCAGGTTTCTTTAAGGCTGTATCAGTTTGTGCCATACTCAGAGGTAAAGCTTCTTTGTCCACAGACTTGGATTTTAAAATAATGTGCTATAGTAAGTTATCACCTTTCATTATCTCAAGATAAGACAAAACAAAACATGGAGCTAAAGAGATGGCCCAGCAGTTAACAGTACTTCTGTTGGAGAGGCCTGGAGTTTGGGTCCCAGCACCCATTTCGGGGCCTTACAGCCACCTATCACTATAATTCCAAGGGATCTGATGCCCTCTTTTGGACTCCACAGGCACCTGCATGCATATGGTGTGCCTAAACGCGCACACACACACACACACACACACACACTTCTTTTTCGAGTAGATCTTCAATAACTTTCATGATGAATGTCTTCAATATATTTTAAATTCAGTTTGGAATGAGAAGTTTCCACTCCGGATCTGTTTCTTCTTCCTGAAGCTCTTTGGCCAGTGGGGTGTGTCTTTGCATCCCTGTGCCTTCGGTGAGGTTCCCAGGCCTTCTGGAACAAGGAGGGGAGGAGTGGTAACGGTGGAATATGATAATGGGAAAATGGCTGATGGCTTCCCAATTAATCCTTCTTAACTACTTTGGGCTCTAATTAATTCAAGAACAAAAACAAGTGATTTTGATTATCTCTTGTGCCAATGTAAAAATTCTTTATGTATTAAACATTGAATAATGTGTATATGTGTGATTGTGAAAAAATATCTGTATATGCTGTATGCATGCTTATATATTTCTTGCTTATTTGTCCTTAAATCAATATCATGCATTTGTTCATCTGCTCATCTAGTGATAATAACTGAATGACCTCTGGGGTTGTATGCATTCCCGACTCCCACTGTCCCCATGTGCTGAGCACTTGCTTTACATCATTCATGACAGCCTTTTCTCAGCCATGGGAATCTGCACTTCCCCCAGTGCAGGCATGAAGACACACGCTTCTGCCTACCTCTGGTTCTCAGAACCAGAAATTCTGTGTCTAACACCTGTTTTCAATCTTCTGCTCCATTTCTCAAATCTTATTATATCTCTGCCTTTTCACACTTTGTAGTCTCTCTCTAATATTTGTTTGCAAAACATGGACTCATTTGTATTGCTATAATTACTGTGATTTTTTGTCTTCTCGTCTGTAGTGGTTCCTCCCTTCTGGCAGCCTCTCTGTAACTCCTGTTCTTCTTCATGGTGCCATACCATCAGAGATGAACTCTCCAAGTAGGCATGTCAAGGCACGTTCCAATCCTGGTCAGCATAGGATTGTGTTTCTGGAACCAGAATATGATCATGCTCAAGAGATAACACAACTCTGGAGCCTTGACTTCACTGTGATTTCTAGGTGTCCCCTCCTACTCTGAAAATGAATTTATTCATAGTTTAGCCAAAATAGGGAGAGAATGATTCCAAGTCTCCTTTTCTGGGGTGGTATTACAATTTTGTAGGGGTCTCATTTTTAATTACAAGCATTTAGTCCATCATATTCTCTCCTGCGACTTCCCAGTTGAAGAACTTTGTGTTTCCAGGTGGGATACAGGTATATTATAGGAATTTTTCTGTATGTAGGTCATTGGAGTAATGACACATCAAAATTCTCAGAGAAATACCACTCTACCACTGAGCTACAGCCTCAGCTTGAAGAGGAATGGCCCAGCTTTTCTTTTGATATTTTTTGGGGAAAAAACAAAACAAAACTCTGAAATAGCCCAGGTGGGCGACCCTGGAGTCGTCCGAAGCCAAGGGTAAACCTGAAGTCCCACTCCAGCTTCTCCAGCTTCAACCTCTGGGTGGGATTACATTACAGACCTGTGTGCCTCCTCTGCACCTTTTTAGACAGTGCTGGAGGTTGAGCCCAGAGCCCATGACACGCTAGGCCTAAGCGCTGCCTGCTTTTCTGAGCTACATCTGCAACAGGAAATATAGTTCTCAGAGAGTAAGGAAATAGGTAAAACCTGAGAACTGCTCAGAAAAATCAATCAGGCAGCAAGAGCACCCCAAAAGCCCCCCTTACTGTGACATTCCCTTCTGATCAGTGTCGTCCTCCTCAGGCTCAGCACTGCACATGTATTCAAACTTTTCCCTTTGTATGGTAAATGATCATATAACTCTCTTAGCTAACCACCCTGGACTACAGTTTCTTCAAAAAATAACTGCAGATCAGGACTTTTGGACCAATGTTAACAAGGCAAATAACCTTAGTGACATAAATGAGGTTCCAGGTGCCATGCCGCCGTTAGACAGGCGTGGCGTCCATGTGTGCCTGCTAAATGCTGGCTTCTTTACCCGGCACCCAGATTGGCTCTTTTCTGTGGCACTTAACATTCCTTTGGCCTTCAGATAGGTCTAATATTCAATTGTAACTTATTTTAAAGGTCCTCAGAGGGCAGGCTTTTGTGCCTTGGATTTTTGTGTGCAGTATCCCACGACTACCACAGTAATTATTAAATAGGACTCATGCCTGAGAATACCAAGAAATGCTCCTATCTATCTACTAAAACAAAAGAAGACTTTTCCAAGAGCGTGATCCATCCACCTACATCCATTGGTACTCTTGATACTCACAAGACTGTACAAGAAGCCCAAAGGAAAGCCATTGTTTGCAAGTTTGCACCTCTGTCATCAAAGGCCCATGGTGGTCAGGGACAGACACTGTCCAGAGTGCAGACACACACAGATGGTGGCTGTCAGGGGCTGACGCATGCTGCAGATTACAGCTCTTAACTAGGCAAAGAGGATTACATTTTTTTTTTTACAGCCAGGAAGCTGTCTTTTAGTCAACTGACTATGGATTTAAAGGAACAGCTTGCTATGTTAGCAGCCTTGTTGACAAGGAAGATATACTAAAAACTTTTGGTCAGTTTCATCTGCTGCTCGGAGACTACTACTAAGTCAAAATTCCTATAGACTTCAGAGGAACAGATGGCTCGGATACAGAGAACTTGGCCAACCCATCTTCATTGACTGTATAACCACATAGCATGGACCTTGCACTTGAAAAATCAGCTGATTTTACTCTAAGTATTTTATTCATATGAAGAATCCTTTTGTTTCTCTATTTTAATCACAAACACCCACTGACTTTAAAAAGAGAGAGAGAGAGAGAATGGTATTTCAAAATTGAGCCTTAGACAAGCATTTTAGAGAGGAGAGCCAAATATAAAATTATTCAGTGAACTGCTATTGTGGCCATTCATTCAGATGGCCTAACCACTGTAAGCTCTCTTTAGTGCAGCATTGCCAGGCACTGTCAGAAATATCACTGGTTAGAAATGTCTGTGTGTGCAGAATAAGGATCTCATTCAGATGGGCGTGCAGTAACACCTGCATCCTCACCACAGTGTGCATTTAGAATCTCCTGGTACATATGCCACAGCGAGATGCAGAATCTTTACAAGCACAGTATGTTCAGGAGTGAAAGGTAACATCTAAAAGGTGAGGCTGGTGGCCTGTAATGAGTTAACGTTTTCTTCACAGGGTCCGCTTCCTGGTGGATGAGGGCTATGAGAATCGGATTCTCATGGCACATGACATACACACGAAGCACCGATTGATGAAGTATGGAGGTCACGGCTACTCGCATATTCTCACCAACATTGTTCCTAAGATGCTTCTTAGAGGAATAGCCGAGAGAGCAGTTGATAAGATCCTCATAGAAAACCCTAGACAATGGCTAACATTTAAGTAGGATGGCTGTTGATGAACACAGACCTCGAGGATAAAATTTGTAGAGAATATTCAGTGACTTCAAATCTATCTGAGACTTTAATCCAAGCTACACAGGGCCAATGACTGATCACTTTCCTCCTATGAGAAACTATCACAGGGAAATCTCTGATTGGGGGCTACTGGGCTCAAGTAAGTCCTATTGTTTTACCTTAAAAAAAAAAAAAAAAAAAAAAAAAAAAGAGCATGTCCCCAAACAGTAATTTAAAGCTCTATCTCCCAAGAGTTTTTTCCCTTGACTCTACCATCTACACTACTTGAGAAAAATGAAAGTGTCTCTAGTTAAGTTGCCCCCTTCTGGAGCAATCTAATGTTTCTTGTAATATTGATGATCCTGCTAATTATCCTGCTGTTCTTTAATTAATGCTTAATGAATAATATGGCATTTTAAAATCACTTTTGCAACAAGGGAAGTTAAATTTTGAGACTTTTTTTTCCCCAAAGGAGACTGCAATAAAATTACCAATTCACAATAATAAAAATATTTTGGAAGGTGAACTGTGTTTTTTATCTATATCTGTAAACTTATAATAAATCAGTTTTGCTGACTTTGGCTTCCTGGTCTCCATTTTTGCTGTTAATTATGTTGTGTTTTGCGAAGTCTATCTAAGAACACATAATAATAGTGAATTATAAAAATGAAATCATAAAAGTAAAAATATATTACATAATATAGTTTAATGAATCATTACAGTTATAATAACAAAGGCCACAATTTAATTAATTCATAAGTTATAATGCAAAGAAAAAGAGAAATGCTTGCCTTATATATAGTCCCTTTATTTCATTTACCTTTTATTTTTTTTTCCTCAGGCCTAAACAGAGAAAATAATGCTTATTTATCCAAGAAAAGGTCAGGTCTATTGGAAATGACAGTCTGTTTGTAAATACTACTCTTTAGAAGAGATCCAGCCATGAAGTTCTTTGCTAATAAAGCCTTTTCAAAAATATTAGTTAAAACGCTTAACTGATGTACACTGTTGTTTATAAGTTAATCCCTTGAATCCTCACTATGTGATTTGATACCTAAGACAAATCTCTAACCCCTTGCCGCCAATCCATCTTTGATAAATATATGCCGTTAAATAGAAATTAAAACAGTGGCAATTCATTTGTGAGTTACCTTACATATTAGAAGGGTCAAATCAAATTAGTCACTACTCTTTATGAATGATCTAAGTGTTTTTTATCATATAAATCATGACAGTTACTCAGACCAAAGGCATTTAAACACAGCAAACACCACCTTTAGATGGGAACACCATGCGTAACTCTTGGATCGAGTTTTGCTAAACTAAAGCTATTTCAGTTGATCATAGCTGATCAAGCTCTCTGTGTATTAGAACAAAAAGTACCGAAGTAAAATGAGCCAGGGGAACAGCCCAATTCCTTTAAAGGGGAAAATGCAAATGTCCTTCACCAATAAAGCAAGCAGATTTTTAAATCTCTGGTTTTGAAACCTACTTGTCAAAGGCAACTGAAAGGGGAACAGATTTTCCATTGTAAGAGGGGAAGTTGTGTGTTGGTAGGAAGTATTCTCATGCATTTTGATCTCTCCCTTAGATTAAAGAGCTAGCTCTTGGCAGTGTGTTTTAACTAGAGAGAATGGGTCTGCACTATACTGTCAGCTTCAATCTGCCAGAAAGAAAAGAAAGAATTGACTACTCAAATGTGTATGTTTCATAGACATTGTGAAGGAGCTCTGCTTGCTTCCTCAAGTCCCTTGTTAATGGTCTGCCAGAGAATGCAGTTAAAATATCGACTGCATATGGAATACAGTAACCATGGGATCAACTAACTCACACATGTGTGATGTGGGGCATTTGAATCTACTGTGATTTCATTGCCTGGATAACTCTTAAAGAGAAGTCACTTTTATTGTTTTGCTACTCTACATATTTGTATCATCTAAAATATATTTCAATCTAAAATAAGTCAAATAATTTGTGCATGGTTCTGTGTGATACATAGATACTTTTTAAATTACTTTTTTGAGCTGTACAGCCACCGTGCCTAGTGGACTGAAGCCATGTATATATAATATTTCATCTAACATATATGTATATAAATAAGTGTGTGGCAGATATTTATATAAAATATATACACTTTGTTTTCATATTGGTTCTATGTGAAACTGTTAAGTTTGAAATAAGCTCAGGCCATGGATTTGCGGTAACTGTTTGAAGGCCTTACATACTGTCCCCTTGATGACGCATGCAGTAGCTCAAATTAAACCTTTGTGCCTTAGGTTATGAACAATCTTTTGTTCCAAAGAAGGCAAAAGCCTCCATCTGACTTCATACCAAAGAATAAATTTCTCTGACTGTTCAAGTTAGTCTAAATGTATTCTATTGACGAAATGGACACACAGGGGGGTTCTAAATACCATACATAATTACACATTTTCACACTTAGAGGGTAATCCTATGATACAATTTCAATCTCTATTTTCTTAAGACTATCACCAGAAAAGAGAGAAAAGAAAATTCACATGAAAAGAAAAAAATGGGAAAATGATCACAGGCTTGGGAATTCCCACAAATCCAGAAAATTCCAGGTTAAGGCTTGAAGTTGAATCATTCCCAGGTCTAGCTCTAAAGTTAACAAGAGTACAAGGCAAACAATATCTTTGGGGACAAGCAGCATTACTTCAATTAGACCTTCTCCTGCAGGGTAAAATGACTCCTCCCCACACTACAAATAGACTCCAAGTATCTTATTAAGCAGGTGAACTCACAAAAACCAAAGCTGACACATGGATAAAAGCAGCAAGATCACGGTACACCAAAGTATCATTGATATCGAAGAAATAATTCAGTGTCTTAGATTTTTCTATAAAAATTTGTGGTCTATATAGGACTTCATTCACATGGACACTAACAATAAGGAGTATTTGCTTTGGCGGTAGTAGATCACACATCTGCTTATCTTGCGTTAAATTACTTTTTTACATAATGTGTCTGAGTGATACAGATGTGAGTCAGGTAGCATTTGATCTCCCCACATTTACACAACCGAGATGCCCTGCAATCGGCATCCCCCGGGATCCTTGATTCACTGACGTTAGCCACACGAATCCAGCGTTCAAACTCAGAATAGCAAGCTCAGTTTCTGCATTATCAGTCAGCATAAATAATAAATCCAGAAAACGTGCTGTATTTGTTGTTGTTTCCTCCATGGGCCTTCCCACCATCTAATTTGATATAGACTTCATCTCCTGGTTCCAGGTGAAGAACCACACTGTTACTGGCATAGTCGTAATTCTGATCAGCGTCTTGGGCAATTGCACTAGCACGCACCTATGTGAAACAGACAAGAATTAGAGCTTGTAGTAGAGAAGCCTCAAGTTGCCCCTTTTGCATAATACATTCCATAGCCTGGAATGTAGCACAGTAATGTTGCCGTTGGTCCCACATCTTTAGGAGGAATGTCTGTAACAACTTCAACTGTGTTACTAGAAAAGAGAAGATATTGCTTTAATAAGGGACATTGCAGCAATCTTTTCTATCCTTGTAAATAAAGCATGCCAATCCAATTTCCCTCTTCGATTACTGCTTTTTCTAATTCCTTGAATCTCCACTTTCAGTCACTTTTTGAAATGGAAATGGCAGTATTGTTTTGCATTTTGATTTAAGCCAAATAGCAGCATTCCAACCGTGTATTTCAATGGCTCATCATAATTATTAGAAAACTGATATCTCAAGTGGCAAAAGACCTAGGGAAATACCACCCTGTTACTATATAGAAGGGGGAAGCTTTTTGGTTTAGAGCTTTGGAAATCTGATACAAGCAAAGCCCCCCACCCCCCCCCGAAACCAGGTTTCTTCAGAAAAAGCTTAACTCATTTAAACATCTTTGTTGATGTCTCTCACATTTCCAAACTTCCTTTACTTTTTTGTGCCTTTTTGTCATTTAATTATATGTTCCTTTAAATCAAAGATTTAATCTCACCAGATCCAAAAGTTTTTAGAAGGGATTGGATTTGTGACCTGAGATTGCTCAGTTCTCTAGTATTTCTGCATTGTATTGTTGCATAGCTTTTCCTATCTGTGTGACTGTAAATGTGTCTGGCTTTGAGGATGGGAGTTGACTATAATCTGCTTATGTTCTGCCTTTAGTCTCATTAGAGAGTTGATCAACATTTGCAAACAGTCAAATTGCCTATCATATCGTGTCATATGGACATTCTGTCACACTCTCTCCTTCAGCTTCATTTAGATATATTTTGATTCTGCCATGGAAAAATTCTTTCAAAAGGCAGGCTTGTGTGTGATTTATTTCGGTAACACATCTTCTACTCTGTGGCTTGTTTCCGTTCCACTATAATGGTATTTCCCTGAATAACATAGCAAGTGATTTAGTGGTTTTTGTAAACCTGCACTATGTAATAATGTATGACTTGGGGTATAATATGCTAGGTTTTATCACTTGGCAAAATGAGAAAAATGAGACATAAGTCAAGAATTTCCATGCATGTCTTTCAAAATCTAACTGATGGGTTTTCAAATTAAATTTTCATGGGAAGATATGTTCTCATATTAATGCTGAAATGCCATAAAAGGAGAAGGCTCTTGGACACCACTGAACTTGGAAAGTAATTTGAGTAGTATTTTAACATTTTTTTTTATTTCTGAGTATCATATAGCAAAAGGAGAGAAGAGCTTAAAGGATTTAGAATTGCTTAACACTATGCTAACTGGCATTAATATAATGAAACCAATATATGCTGCATGATTATACTCAAAAGCCTTGTCTCAAACTTGTGCACCACTAGTAAGGTGATTCATTTTAACCATTACATAACAATGCATTTGGACTTCATAATATTTCCCAGGAATTAATCTTCAGTTTGTAGAAGCTGAAGGCTTTGGTTCATTTATTTCATCTAGTTATTAATTCCCAGTGAAGAAAATCTACACACTGAGAAATCATCATTATGGCTTGACTTTTAGAACATGTGGACTTTTAATGATGTGAAAAATTAAAATACAAACTAGTAATTATCTACATTAGTAATATGTTAATTAATCATCAGACTAATATACTTCTCAGCTATTATTAATGAGAATACAGTTTATTCAGCATTTTGGATATTTAGTATATGTCCTATGAATGTTGTCCATCATCATTGTTTTCTACATGAAACCTTTAGGAGCCAGGACTCACTGAAATCTTTGATTTAGAGACTGTATTCTTTAAAAAAAAAAGTACATAGAGAATGCAGTTTTTATTCTATAGAATATAGCCACAAAACCAAGTAAATGTTACCATTTTTAATTCAATAGGTAAAACCACAGAAACCTGCTAATGCATTAGTGTGATTCCACACACTAGAGGGTTATCCTTAGTGCATTTTATTTCCTTTGTTGGAAAAAGCCAGTATGGTGGCTTTATAATAAAGAGCAGTTCCCTAAGATTTTAACCTATGCAGCATTAAAGGGCTTTTTCAATTAAATACCCACTATCTGCCAGTGTCCATGATGTCAGTCTGACTGCCCACCCATCACACTCTGAGAGTATAATGGGACTTGGAATTTCAAGCTCTGATATGTATCCCACTGACTTCGGCAATTCTTCCTCGAAGCCATCAAACTATTGAGGAAGGTAATGTGTTCACCCTGAAGGCTATTTTCAGATTCCTAAATGTGCACCTATTTCAGCATTTTGTCTGGGAGTATAATGCATCCTTTTCTCAGCCCGATATACCTATTTCTTCCTAAATTCTCTTTAATATCTTTTTCTTAGTATGTTAACTACATAGTTCCTGCTTTATCTTTAGTATGTATTTCTCTGCTTCTCAAGAGAGGACTAATTTAGCATGGCACATCATCGCTCTTCCTGACAAATGAATATAAAAGCACACAGTATTCACTCTTTCCAATGTAGTTCACGTCCATTGTTACCATAACTAATAAATTCTTGTAAGTGAAAGGCTTATCTCTAATTATTTTATATGACTAATGTTCTGGCAATTTAGTTTTTATTATGGTGGCTTACAGGAATGACATTATAGTAACTATACTCAGAAACTATTTTTTTTCAGGTTTTTAACTACAAGTATGCAAGCATTAGAAATTCTTCCTGTATCTATATAAAGCTATTTAAGCTCCATTTTTTTAACCTTTAATATGCAATATGATGGCCTCTCAACAACTGATACGATTAAGTGTAGGCTAATGATTTCATGGGGAATATGAAAACCATGGTCTTTTATAGGGAATGATAGGTTTGTGAGAATATAATAGGCTGTATAGTTTTAGCATTGTCTTATTATTGAGTGATTATCATTATACAAAATATTTACTGTAACATTTACCAATTTAATTAATTGCTTCTGATGTTCTGGTAATTTCATTTTCATTGTTCTCCCGTGGAACCATAACCAAAAGGTTAAGTGGTACATCAGGTTAATGTATTGACCTTGGATGTTCCCATCTGTGACCCTACATTCAACACAAAGCATAAATAAGATGGCCCTCCTATGGTTATGACCCAGCCATTGCCCCCTCCTACACTGAAGAACTGCATTCTTCCCTTGGTGTCTCAAGTCTGTGCTTCTTCAAATCCACTTAATCCCTCGAACACCACTCTGACATGGATCTCTGAGTTTCTGTTTTTATGAAAACAAATTAGGTCAGCTCAGAGGGGGAACTGTCATTCTAAGAAACAACCACACAGACTATAATTGAAAATCAAGGATAAAATATTTATTTAAAATTAATAAAAAAGAGATTTTACAAGATTTCCCACCTGGCCCTGGCTGCAGCCAGACTTTACGAAAGAGTTTTATTCTAAAGACAAAACTCCTTAGCCATAATATTGCAATAACCTTTTCTCTAAAACAGCCCACACTGAATTCAGAAGGATGTTGTTTACCACTATTCATATATTTTTCCGAATTACCTGCTACCTACTTTTTGAAGAAGCAGGAACTTGATAAGCAGCTAGTGAGGAGCATCAGAGGTCTTTTACCCACTCGCTTTCCTGATCCCCACAGAATCTGTACCACTCAGGCGGTACAGAGAGGAGCTCATGCACCAATGAAGTGGTTTAAAAAACAAAGCGCATGGATGTTTTCATTTTAGAATTTGTACACAGAATGCTTTCTTTTGACTAGTGGGTATATGTCAGGTTCTACCCTCTAACCACCAACAAAGTCTCAACTAACTCCATTGTGCTGCTTCCTAGGGATTCCTGCATTTGCAGTCTTCAGATATTTAAAAAAAAAAATTGCCATTTCTATATTTGTTGACAATAATAGAACATTTTTAATGGGTGCCTCTAAAAATATCTCACCAGTATAGTAGTGTTTTACAGACCCAACTTTTGTGTCAGACAGAGTCGATTTATAAATAAAAAAAAAATGCCCCATGGCTGGCTGCTGGAGGAGATGGGGGGGTGGCATTTGTAAGCCATTTGGTCAGCCAGACACAATGCCTCTATTTTGGTATAGTGAGTCACGCCCTTTGTAGCCACATACCTGCAACTACCTAGCCCACTTTTGGGGGAACAATTTTTATTACCTTAGTGTTATTTTCATGAATAATAACTGTAATGAACAACCCTGTCAGTGCCTCCTGGTGGCCATGTTTCCTTTTTTTGTTGTCCCTAGTATCTTGGGAGTTCCTTAAGGGATTTGCAGGAAAGAGGGACTTGTAAAAAGTGTATCATACATTTAGGACCTGCATCTTTTACCTTTGAGAAAATTCTGACACTAAATTGGGTTTTGAGGAAAACAAAGAAAAAACAAACAAACAAAACAAAACAGCCTTAAAGGTGCTCAGTGGAAAATTGGGATTTAGCTAACATCTGAATTTCCAGGAGACCAAAAAGACCTGCAGCACACCAGCCCTTGTTAAGTCAAAATTGCTGCCTGAAATGAAGCATCTGGAGGGCGATGGCAGGGTCTCCGGGTCTTTCTTCCTGTCAGTCAGTAAGCAAAGTTTAGGGCTCTGAAACTCAGCTCGCACAGCAGGCTTGCAAGCTCCAAGGCCTCTACCTGGTGCCAGCGACTTGGAGTGTGCAAAGTCCGGTCACACTTTTAGGTAGAAATGTGTTTTCCTCCTGTGGTTAAAAGATAAAAAAAATGCTTCGGTTTTGCATTGACTTGCGCTTGACTCTGGCAAAGGCAGAGTATCCTTGGCCGACACTGCAGACCAGTGGCCTCTGTGGCACCACCCACCAGCTCTGAATAGCAGGTACCGGCTGGGACTCATCTGAGGCTACTTTACAACCAAGGCAAGGTGGCTGTGAACAAGTAGGCTAGGCTTATAGAGCCTCTACCAGGGTGCCCTGGGGGCTTCCCCGTGATGAAAGGGTTGAGCCCTGACCGGCTACCTTCCCAACCACGTCCTCGTGTATTTTTTCTACTCCAAACAGTGGAGTGGAGGTTCCCGTGTTTTGGGTGCGAGCTGCTGTACTTCTACAACGTAAACCCAACTTTTCCTTTTCCCGGCAGTCTTTCCTTTGGAAACTAGTCGGAGTGTAAAGTGACTCTGAGTTTCACTGCCTAAGACCTCTCGAGGACCATGCGGTTACGCGCGCGGCAGACTCCTGTCTGAGTCGGAGATGGTCCTGTCTGAGACTCACTCTTGGGGGTCCTCCTTTTACCCTGGGGTTCCTGGTCTATCTCCCCCGAGTCTGGAGCCCTGACACGCCCATTTCGGGCTCCGGAAGCCTTCTACGTTCTCGGGAAACGCTGTAAAGGTCCCTAAGCTGTTGAAGATCTCACCCGCCAGGAATTTTGCACAGCTCCAGGACTCCCCTAGTACACGAGCTGTCCCGGGGCCAAACTCCCAGTTTCTCACCCCCTCGAGGGTCGGGCTCACAATTGCGCGCGCCAAGCACCAATCTGACACTCTAGAAGCACCCTCGCCTGGCTCCTCCGCGTACGACCCCCACCTCTCCAGCATGTCTCAGAGTCCCCCTCGCCCTCGCTCCCAGGAGCCGGGTTGCCGCGCCCTTCCTTCGCGGCCTCCCACCCCCATTTCCGGGGTCTCCTCCCTCTTGCTTGCACCTTCCCGCACTCGCTCCCCGCCCTCCCCACTGCCTGCTCGCGCTCACCTGGTTGTTTTTGCAGAGATCAGCCCACATGCTGGTGCCATCCCCTCCGCGCATCAGGACGTGGTAGGTGAAGAAGTAGATACCCGGGATGGAGCAGGTGAACTTGCCCGTAGTGGGATCATAGTGGTTTCCGAGGTTGGTGACCACGTCGTCGAACTTGAGCACCTCATAGCCTTCATGCTGCCGTTTGAGGCCAGCGTAGAAGGCGATCTTGGGCACCGTGCTGTAGGTGGCCGCGCTGATGGCCCCGGCCGCATTCAGGCCAGGCGCCCCAGGCGGGCCCGGCAGGCCTTGGCGGCCAGGTTCGCCCTTCTCCCCCGGGGGCCCCACGGGGCCCGGTGGTCCGGGCTCTCCGGGGGGCCCACGCGGGCCTGCCTTCCCCGGCCTGCCGGCCTCGCCTTTGGGACCCTGGATAAAGGTGGGGAGGGACTGCATGAGGCCGCGGTCCGGAGTGGCGGCGGTGCTGGGAGCCTTGGTGCCCCCGTAGGGGTCGCAGACCATACGGCAGGTGCCCAGCATCTCGTAGTGCGCCGACGTGCCGGCCGAGCTCACCAGCACCGGGATGAGGATGACCAGCAGAAGCACCATCACCACCCCCAGCGCCCCGGCGGCGATCAGGCGCCTCCTGCTGCCCACGAGCCGGCTCAGCGCGGGCCGATCCTCTTGTCTGCTTTTGGACAAAATTTTGAAGGTTGGGCGGGGACCTCCTCAGAGCCGAAAACAATCCCCCTTCAAACCCCAACTCCCCTGGGCGGGCGCGCGCCGGTCGTTCTTCTCCGGCTCCTGCTCCCCCCGCTGAGGCTGCGGCTGGGGAGGGAGCTGGGGCGCCAAGTGACTTGATCTGAAGTCCCGAGCGGGGGTGGGGGCTGGGGGAGGGGTGCTCAGGGCGCCCTCTCGCCTCCAGCCAGCCCCTTCGCACCTGTGGCTGCCGCGGGTGCCTGCGCGGCCACCCGGAGGGCAGAGCCAGCCGCTGCCTCCTGCGCTCGCCCGGGGCGGCTCACACTTTTATGCCGCTGCTGCCGGCGATCGACTTTTCCTTTTTTGCAGACTGCGCCAGTTCGCACCAACTTTCCGTCTGAAGTTGCCTTTTTTTTTTTCCTGGGCCTTGCTTCTTTTCTTTCTCTGGCTGGGTTCGTCCCTTGCTTTTTTTCTTTCTTTTTTCTTTTTTCTTCTTCTTTTGCAGTCACCACAACTCTAATAGAAGCGCACCCTAAAAGCCCTTAGTGGGCTGTGGGAGTTCGGGTCGGGCGCCCCCCGAGATGCGCGGAGCGGCGGCTGTTCGCAGGATCAGCCGCTCAGAGAAGCTCAGAGCTGGAGATAGGAGCTAGCCAGCAGCGGCGAGAGCCGAACGAGAGAGGCTGAACGCAGAATTCTGCCTGGGTACCACCTGCCAGGAGAAGAGGAGGCTGACAAACGCGCGCCGGAGCAATTTATAGGAACCCAAGGCACAGAGGAAGGGGAGCCGCTTTGGCATCTCTCTGCAGCATCTGCTCTGCTCATCCCACTCACACAGAGTTTGGCATTACTCTGACAATGTGGGATTTTTTTTTTCGGCCTCTCTCTCTCTCTCTCTTTTTTTTTCCCTCTCTGCAAGGGATGAACAGTGAAATCCTGAATACTCCCTTGTCTAACCCAGGCGATGGCAGCGCCCTAGCTGGACACACAAGGGGAGGGAGACAGCTGTGCGACAGCTCTCAGGACTCAAGGGTCACACCTAAATCTATTTCCCCAGAGCCAGCAGCCTTTGTTGGAGGTGGAAGTGAAGGTTGAAAGGAGGGAGGTTTGATGACAATATTTCTCTCCTGGCTCATCCACAATCAGTGCTTCAGGTGTTTTTCAAAATGCCACTTTTAACATAAGGAGGGCCCTTTCCAATTTTCCAGACAGTAGATGTGCGGTTTTTTTTTAACCTTAGCATTTGCTTCCACAGCCTCCTAAATGAAAGAAGATGTTACCCTGAGAACAGTAAAGTGTATTTAAAAACCAAAGGACATTTCTTGATTTAAATGAACTTGTCCACCGCCCAAAAGGAGGAGGGCTGGTTCTTCTTACAAGTGTCACGCCATGGTGAGAGCATACATGGGCATTTGACTTACGGGCTTCCAATTGCAGCTGCCCTTTAGAAGATACCATCATTGGACTTGAAGTTGCGTGTGCTTAAAGGTGCAACATGCAGGAGAAATAATCACTTGTCAGTATGCCTTCGAAGGTCTTACAACAAAGCAAGCAGTGTTTGCAAAAGTGCCAGGTTTCATAAGACAGGGAGAGAATTCTGTAGGTGCCATGGCAGACTTCCCAGATGTGCATTGGGGGAGGGGAAATGGGGAACTCATGACAGAAAAGCCACCACCCCTAACAGTTGGAAGAGCTGGATGAAGAAACCACTTGAATTTAGAATATCAATAGAAGGCCCCCAGAGTGGGTTTTAGGAGGGTTATCCCACCAACAAATACATTTGACACATAAGGATGGTTTTAAATAAATAAGTAGAATTGATTCCTAAATCATACTTCTGCATTCAGGAGCAATAGATGTCAATCAAGCCTGGGTGACATTTGCTTGTCAATACGGAATGATGGCTGGGAAGACAGTAACTTATTACAACAGGGTGAGAATCTGAAATGAGAAACAGGAACAAATAATAATATAACAAGCAAGTAATAAATCCTAAGTGACTATCAGCAAACCCTGGTCTTGTCTGTAGGCTCCACAGCACAGCATCTCCTTCAAGATTCTGCAGCCTCTCCCCATTCTCCCCTATCTCAACAGTTAAGTCCTTTCTCTGATTCAAAACAAAGGAAGGTCAAGTGAGCAGATTCATTGATTCCTTGGAGGGGAATGTCAGCAGTTCCTTGAGGGCTTTCTGGGGGAGTCAACACTAAAGACCTGGGCTTACTTTCCCATGGTACAGCTACCCCATGTTCTCTCACCATCAGCCAGGCTACTAATAGGGTCCTAGGGTGCTGATAGGGTGATGAGAAATGGCCTTCCAACTCTCAAAACCTTAATTTTCATTTTAGGAGAATGGTTTTTATAAATGTGCATCAATACCTTTGGCATATATATTCTGTAAAGTTTTGTTCATGTGAGCTACCTGATTTCTGTATTTTTAAGTAATAAACACAGAAACTGATTGCTCCAGACCACAGTACCAACACCTACCCCCCCTCCCCCGACATACCTTCTTGGTTGTTTCTCAAAAATCTTTCTCCAGGGTGAGAAAATGGTAACCTATGATGCATGCCCACAGTGGAAGGAAATGTACTCATGTAACAAACTCTTCTTTCATGTTCCAAAATATCCCAATTGATAAAGCCTTCTAAATTACTAAGGAGAGTCTGATGGAAGGGATGTCTGAAATGGAGTTTTTAAAAGATAGAGATAAATAAATGTTCTTCAAAAGGACACAAAGGGCTTTCCCACTGAAGATCTTCATTTCATGAGAGAATTCATCGATGAGAATGTGACATACTAGAGTCAAGATCAGCTCTGAGAAATGAGTCATCTTCTCATGCAGATGGGAAGACCCAGACCTGTGCCATTGGATGAGCTCACTGGAATGATCTCTACAAATCATTACTGCATCCAGCCCAGCCTGAGAAGGGTGGTAACATGGGGCATTCCTTTGCCAACTTCTTTTTATGACAATGCAATGTTTGATATTGCATGCAAGTGCTCTGATATCCTAGAACTCTGCTGAGGTTTCTGAAGATGACCAGTGCTGCTTGTTCAGAATGAAGGCACCTTCTCCCAAGTTCCAAGGCTGAGAGACTATCTATCAAAGGCACATTTCTGAGTGCACACATGAGCATTTGGCTTTTTTTTGTGAAGTAAGTTAAAGTCACTGCCCTCCTTTCTCTTTTCTAGAATACCCCCACCATGCACTTTGGGAGAACATGGCTTTTGTTTCCCCAAGATTTTCAGGGATGACTCGGTAGTAAATGAACGTATGGCTGCTTGCTGTCATTTTCTACTGCTCTAGTTCATGGAAGCTTCTCTGGAGAGTTACTCATGCTTCATCTCTTGTTCTGACAGTTTGAATAAACCATCTGATGCAGCTTATTACTCATCTTCTTTATATATATGTAATAATGGAAACCACGTCAATTAAAAATATTTAGTTTTCTTTAGTGCTCATCAGAAAAGCAAGTTTTCTCTCATATTTGGTATTAGTCTTGGAAATGGCTGTGGAGTCTCTTTTTCACAGCATTCCTCGCTGTTTTGGAAGAGAGGAAAAAAAAAACCACGAGTGGTATTCTCAATACTGAATCCGAGCCTTTGGGATGCTTCAGCTGACAAAGGCCAATCCAGAGATGCAGGATCGCGGTGGGGTGGTGATCTGTGATTTTCATCTTCCCGCATCATTTGTGCTGCTTTCGAAGAGCTGGGCAGATTCTAAGTGCAAGACTCCCACACAGACACACACAGCCATCCATTAATCTTTATCGAGCACCCACTGGCAGCATAGCCCTAGCCTGGGCTCTTACAGGCAAACAAATATTTAGTCATAAGAATGACTTCCAAATCTAGCAACACCTAAACAGAAATAGCATTTCTTATAATAAGGAGAAATCACAAATTAATAGGCCCAAGCTAGAAAAGCAGGCATAAGAAATCGTTTTGTTTTTTTTTTTTTTAAATTGGGACTAGATCAGCTATTTACCTTGAATGTCTGAGTCTCCAAATTGTGTTTCACAGCATATGCTCTTTTGACTGGAAAATATTGTTTATAGCTTTAAAGGGTCTGTTTGGAAATATGTGAGGAAACAGTATATCCTTACAGTTTGAGAACTAGAGGGTTCTTAATTTGTTCCCTAGACATCTTCATTCTGTAGCTGTGAAGGATGCTTAGTGGCTCTGAGCTTCAACTCTTTTTTCCATAAAATGGGAATAACACTAATATCTAAATCACAGAGTTGTGGAGATTGAAGAATCAACACAGATAATCACAATGGTACCCAATTTGTGAGAGCTCAGCAAATATCAGTTGGCATACTGTGTACTGTAGGGATGCTGAGCAGTACATGCACCTATAAATTAGATGGTAGGACACACAGTGTGGAGTGGAATTTACATGCAACTTAATAGAAATGGCATATAATGGACAATTGGTGTTATAGACTTAGCTAAAACTTAGAACATGAAAATTCTCCAGCAGAGTTGGCATGTGCCATCTTCTATCATCTAAGACAGTGGTTCTCAACATGTGGGTTGTAACCCCTTAGTGGTCTAACAACCCTTTCCCAGGGGTCACAGATCAAATATCCTCCATATCAGATATTTACATTACAATTTATAACAGTAGCAAAATTACAGTTATGAAGTAGCGATGAAAATAATTTTATGATTCGGGGTCACCACAGCATGAGGAACTGTATTAAAGGGTCACAGCATTAGGAAGGTTGAGAACCACTGATCTAAGACAACGCAAGACAAAACTCAAAATGAGGATGACTTCTCCAAGGTTAGAAAAAGAAAGTTTCACATCAAGGTTATTTAGATTCATTGCAGATTTCAGATGGAGGACCGAAGAGGATGCACTTTTTCCCTGTAGGAAGGTCCTGTCTGAAGCTGACAAGTCGTGATCATACTTTAAAATTATTGAGGTAGTTATTTTGAAACCACTGTTTATGATCATTCTCAAATAAGGAAACGTGCTAGCTGGAGTTGCTTATACATTAGTCAGGAGATCAATCACTTTGAAGGACTTCTAAGTCAGCACCATATCATCAGATTGAGAATTTTTAATACACAGGAGAATGAGTTGGAAAGGTAGTTTGACAGATCAGTTGTGACCAAACTAGTGAATGGGTGACTGGAGGTAGTAACCAGCTCATTATAGAAGACTAGGCTATAACACATTTATTCAAACTGATCTCAGATTCTAACCACATCAATAAAAGGACACAATCTCCAGGATGAGTATGATGCTTTGTGCTTGTCATGAATATAGTGCTTGGTCTCTATCACCCTGCTGATGTAGAATGAAGGGCAAGTTACCAAGGACTGAAGTATGAACCAGTCCTCTGTGATTTCTGGTTTTCATTGTTAACTTGGCTAGAATTAAAATCACTCGGAATATGGTAAGGCACATCTCTGGGTGTATCTGTGTTTTCAGAGAGAATCGCTAAGTGAAGAGACCAACTCTGAACACAGGTGGCTCCATCTCAGGCATTAGGAACCCGAAAGTAATAAAGGTGGCAAAAGGCTAATGCCAACAAAATGCCTACATTTCCCTGTCCTCTGGCCCCTGGCTCAATGGGATGTGAACAGCATCTGTTGCACATTTCCACAGCTATGAACGGAGCTGTTCTGCCACGCCCTTCCCTGATATGCTGGACTGAAACCAAGATGCAAATTAAATAACTCTTCCCCTTATGTTATGCTCAGGTATTTTGATTTCAGCCATTCAAAAGAAACTAATGCACTCTCTTAAGCCATGGTCACATGAACACAGTCATCCAAAGGTGAGGGGTAGAGTCAAGAAAGTAAAATTAGCTAATGCTCCAGCAGAAAAGACAAACTGTGCATCCACAGA